TCCTAAATACACAAGTTACTACAAAGTACACTGTATGATCTATTAACCAACCAAAGCTAGGGGCTTTGCCCCTTGATCCTCTTTGATCTGCCGGTTTTAACCCATTCGTGCCGGCTGTCACATATACGTGATGTGCCCTCTGTGAGTTCACTTGTTTAATTGTTTTACACATAGATGTCTCCACTTGTACTTGTACTGCCTGTCTCGCCTGTTTACCCTTTTCTTTAATTTACGAAAATATTTTACGTTATCTTATTTTGGTGTTCCTAATGTTTATAACATTAGAGTAATTATAATGTTTATAATAAAAATAACCATCGATATTCATAGCAGTAGTAAAAATACATTTTCCCACCAATTTAAGTAAAGGTGAAATTAGGTAAGGCAGAGCCATCTAGTGTAGAGACATTTCACAAAAAAATATAAAAAATGAGTACAGCATTTTCCCCATTTTTTGTTCATTTTTACCCGGCGCGAATGGGTTAATAGCTGGGGACTCTGCCATGGACCCCCTCCTGATTGCCTTATTTCTCTGGCAGCAGGCTCTGCTTCAAACCCCCTCCAATTCACCTTATTTTCTTAGTGAGGGGCTTTGCCTCCTTACCATTTCCTACATTACTGTTTCATTCATTACAGTATTCAGTATATTTAAAGATGCAAGGTATACCTTATGAAGGGTAATGGTGCAGTATGGTTGCAAAGGCTTCAAACCTTTGATATCAATTGGATGTGTAAATTGGGAACACAGTTATTGCACTTCATGGAATTTAGTATTATCCATTAGGTAGTAAATTCACTGAGTCCATTTCAACAAATATTGTGAAAGATTTCAAAAACACGAGTAGTAATAACATACTTAACTTTCAAAACATGCAATGAGTACTGTGACAGCAAGACTGCCACATTTGCTGCTAGATGATTGTGCATATGCAACAGCTTATACAGGATTGTCTTGAATTTTTTATCTAAATTGGTGTTTTTTTATACTTAGGCAACCACAGAGGCTTTTAATTTAAAAGGGTTATCTTATAGAGCAATTGAAATGGAACATTTTCTCTCAGTAGCATCCCTCAAGATATTAAAAGTTGCTTTCAAGAAAAGCACTGTCAGAAATCTTATAAACACCAGTTGTCAGGTGCCATATATGCTTGACATGTAGTCACTTGAATAAGTGTGAAATTATAGATGATGAAGCAATGATTATTTTAAGATTATTCTTTTCTTTAAAAAATATAAAAAAACAAGTGTTTGCCTTTACTTGAAAGGACTGTAACTCTTCTAATACAGGAGTATATAGAGCACACAACATACAGCAGCTTCCATTGTCATTGCTCATATATAGATACATGGCATATTGGTCCTCCTCATCAAGTCATGTATAGGTGAAATACTTCAGTATTGTCTTAGAGCCATTGTTCCCAACCTCTTCTCAGTGATTTTTTTTTTTTTTTTTTTTTTTTTTTTTTTTTTTAAGATTCGCGAAGCAGAGCCTCGCCCGGGCTATGCCTATTTGGGGAGCCCGGTATTTTCTCAGTGATAGCACTCTAAGCTTAAGTACTCTGCAGCCCCATGTTCTTTAACCACCCTGCCTCACCCCACCTCACACAAATTTACCATTATAGCACAGTGCCTCTTCACCTGTCCTACGAACTACCAGAGCTGAAAGCAAAATAAACACAAGTTGCATTCTCAAACATTAAACATATACTTACCAGTTGAATGAGGAAGGCAACATTTAATTTAACATGTTAATACCATGGAAATTTTTGGATTATGATGATAGTGATAATAATAATGATTTTAATAGCAACCCTAAGAGTATTATTTTTAAAATTTTATAGTATAGATTTTCAACAATTACAGGATTTAGAACATTCACACACAGAAAGAAATATGAATAGTTTCTGTTTTTTTCTTTCAGCTCAAGATTATCATCATTATTTGGTAGCAGCACAGCAAGCAAATCCTCCAACTTGAAGTATGTTGCCCCCAAGCAGCCTCGACCAGAGAGAAGTGACTCAGCAAGTAGTGGAAGTGGAAAAAATAACTCCCCTTCGCCAGCCCCACAGCAATCGAAAACACAAGCGCCTGCAGTGTTAGTTGCAGCCCCAGTCCATGCATATTTGTTGTAAGTGCTTAATGATTTGCAACCGTCTTTTTTTCTTTCTTTCCTTAAGTTGTGTGCTTTTCTCTTGAGCTGTACTATTATAAAGAGACGAGAAAAAAATATTTAGATCTTTTCAAAATGTGTAAGTATATACTCATCTATTTGTATAAATGTCTATGTCTTTCTGTTTAACTATTTATGTCTATATATCTTCCAATCTATTTACATATTCATATGATATGGAGATATACTTAGAGGGGGGATGATTTTCAATGCCATCCCCAAAGAATGACACCTGTTATGTCTGTTTAATTTTAGATGCTTAAGTTCTCATAAGTAGATAAATATTCTATATTTTGTCATATGTATACACACACACACACACACACACACACACACACACACACACACACACACACACACACACACACACACACACACACACACACACACACACACACACACACACACACACACACACACACACACACACACACACACACACACACACACACACACACACACAGATATGTGTTTATATATACATATATATATGTAAAATATACAAAATATATATGATATATAATATAATATAATTCATATATAACATATATATGAATATTTATAAATATATAAGAATATAAATATATATATAGATTTATATAAATATATAAATGTATGAATATATAAATATGTAAATATAGATATATAAATATATAAATATAGATATATAAATATATAAATATATTAATATTACTTACATATATATATATATATATATATATATATATATATATATATATATATATATATATATATATATATATTATAAATTATTTTTGTGAATCTGTTTATTAGATTTTATTTGATCAGTATCATAGTTGGAAAACTTACTGAACATTTAGCTCGGACTTGTTGTCTTAGGTGCACCCAGCGTTTATGAATGTATTTTTTCATGTGTTCAGTATAACAGGTGGTACTAATGATGCTTGTATTTACAGTGTGAATGGTGTGGCCCAGCCTCAAGGTCGTGTTATGTGTTGTGTCTTGGGGAACCATGCTGAGAAGAGTTTCCAGCTGCTCCTTTATCGGTCAAAGCAAGATCATCTTACAAGAGCTAGGATTCATCATCAGTTTAATTTCACAGTAAGAAAGAATTTTCCAAGGTTGACTACATGATGCAAATGTTAGGTCAGAGCCAAAGTTCTATACACATACAGATGTGCGTGTGTGTGTATGTTCATGTATGTGTGTGTGTGTGTGGGTGTAAATGCGTGCATGCATGCATGTTTTTATATCTGTACATCTTTCCATCTATTTCTGTTTCTATTTCTGTTTCTATATGTATCTATCTATATGTGTGTGTGTGTGTGTATTGATTATCATATATTTAACTGTCTCTGTGTTTGTCTCTGCCTGTGCCTCTGTCCCTGTCTTTCTTTCTGTATATATATATGTATGTATATATACAAATGCAAACACAGTTTTACCAATATATATACATGAAAATACACATGTTAGGGAAAAATACAAATAACCTTTTTTCATTTAGATTAATAAACAGGAGTTATGAATTGATTTCCTTGAAATATATTGATGTCTCTTGTATTTGCAGGTCCAGCCAAATAACTATGTTAACTTTAGTGATGATCAGCAAAGGAGCTGGTCAGTTATGATAGATGCTGCCCCTTATGCTGAATTAGTTATTCAGGTAATGAATATAAAGCATTACAACAGAAATCTATTTGATTTTGTATTTTCAGTGAAGAGGAAGTTATATTATTCAAAGCTACTTTTATGATTATTATTCTTGTGTAGATATGTTTGGTTTTTAATTTATATATATATTCATATATTTATTTGCTAATTGATATTGATATACACATATCATTATACTGGAACAAAGATGAAATTCTTAATATTGTTAATATTCCAGTGAAAAGTGTTCCACCTTTTCCATTAATACTTCACTAGGTTGGTGTGTGTCGAGCCTTGGCAGCGCAAACAGTAGATAAAACACAAGTTACTCAGGATGTGACAGTGGGGGAAGGACCAGTCTTACAAGAAGGGGACCAAAGCTCAAGTCTCATTTTCCAAGTGGAGCATTATAAGTGGAAAGAAAGGAAATCAGGTTTGTTAAGAGCAAGTCGTGTTATTGTTACCAAGATTTTCCAAGTGCATTTGTTTATGATCATGGTTATATCTGTCCACTTTTAGTCTAGGTCATCATTATTTTATTATTTCTAATTTCAGCTTCACTTTATTATTGACACTTTTATAATCTGTTATAATCTAATTAACAATTCCAAATTTATTTTAGGTAATAAGTCCTTTTCAAACATTCCTATTATGTATTAAGCAACCTGCAAGTTAGATTTGGCAATGGCACTGAATATTTTGACAATTGAATTAATATATTATATTTGTTATACTTTCCCTACAAAGGCAGAAGAAACCAAGTCGGCCCATCGGGTCAAGTTAAAAGAGGCATTAAGCGGGTGGGAGTGTGGCCTTCTCGGGCTGCAGAAGAACGGTCGCAGATTGATTTTTCTTCTTGAGAAAAAGGTAATTGAGACTGGAATAGAAATGAAGGGATCCATAGATATATAGAGTGGTAGTACAAGAGGGATAATGAGAGAAAGTAGATGAAGAAAGAAAATAGTAGAGAAAGAACAAAAAAAGAATGGGAAAAAGGAGAAATGGTAAAAAAGAAATGATATTAGAAAAAGAGAAATTTTGAAAGGAGAAAGCTAGAGGTAGGTAGAGCATAAGAGACTGGTAGGGTGAAAAGTATAGAAAAATAAATTGCAGTATTCCAAGGGGTAAATTAGGGGTAAGGGCAAAAAGAGGAGTAGGGATAAAGAGACAGAGAGACAGAGGGATAGAGGGTTATAGACAGACATAATAGACAATGACATAGAGAGAGTGTCATATATCCTGCTGCATCCATGTGGTTAACCCAATGGTGACAGGTGAAGAAACAAAAAAAAAAACTCTATGTTCTGGCGAACCATGGCAGCGCTCCGACTTTGAGTGCGTGAGTTTGGTACATCAGGCCAATCACTGGATGGCCGCACACCACTTTTCGAGTGGTTAGTTTTCACACCTAGCGGCGTTACCCGTCATGAAGGGGTTAACGAATACAATTCCCCCTCGTACCCCAATACGACATGAAGCTTAACCCCCTTCATCCCCACCAGTCAAGCCATTCAGTAATGCCTCTAGGTCATACAGCTGACCTATATAAAGACATCACAGAAAAAAGGAGAGAAAGAGAAAATGTTTGGGAGAGATAGGGAAAGGGTGTGGGAGAGAAAGAAAGGGGGAAGGTGTGGGAGAGAAAGGGAAAGGGTGCTTGGAGAGGAAACAAAATCATGGATGGAGAGAGAGAGAGAGAGAGAGACCAGAGGAGAGAGATAGAGAGAGAGAGAGAGATGATGATTTGAGACGATGAGAGAGATGAGATGACGAGGAGAGAGAGAGAGAGAGAGGAAGACAGAGAGAGGGAGAGGAAGACGAGGGAGAGAGGGAGGAGGAAGCGAGAGAGAGAGAGAGAAGAAATTTTTAAATATTTTTTATATCAGTAAAATAATTGTTAGTTGTGGTGTAACTTACTGAGATGGTAATGGATATGTTATGCATGGATTGAATATGAAATCAATTTAGTATCAGAAGTCAGAAATATGAGGATACAATTAAATCGATTATTTACTTATTTGTTAACAGGAGAAGACTCTTCTTCATGTAGGATCGTGAGTGTAGAGCGAATAAGCAGAAGGGAAGTGACCATTCGGGCAGAAGCACCCCACAAGTGGGATTCTCACATGGCCACAAAGAGGAAAATGAAATAGGTTCAAGTACATTAGACATCTACTAAAGGTTGAAGACTGATTTCACTTTCACTTCTCCTGCTATCTGGTATGTTATAGACTCAAGTGATTTCTTTATGTCCAAGTGGATTTCTTGAGGGCATGGCATGTACGTACATTCCATGCCCATTGTGACGTTTTACTAGTTTAATTGTTCTTACACATAGATGCTTCACTTGTACTAATCACCAATGACCATTTACGAGTACCGCCTGTCTTGCCCGTTCACCCTTTTATCAATTGTACGACAATATTAACGTTACCTTATTTTGCTGTTCAATGTTTATAACATTTTTAGTAATTATATTTATAAGGAAAAATAACACCATCTATTTTATAGCACAAGTAAAATTACATTTTTTTGCGCCAATTCAAGGAAAGTGAAATCCTTTATGGCTAGCAGTACAGGGACATTTCACAAAATATAAAAAATGAGCCAGAATTTCCCCGAAAAAAAAAAGAAAAAAACCACTTTTTTTATTCATTTTCCTGTCGGGAAAGGGTTTTAAGTCCAAAGAACACATCCCTTACAAAGCTTTCCTTGAATTTTCCCCTAAGACAGTGGGAACAGCCCTAAGAAGAACACACACCACCTCCAATGGCATAAATTGTCTCAACTCTGCGAGAGTGGGACATCCCTTACTTTCCCTCAGACCAGGCAAGATTTTAGACACCACCCCAACTGCTTCTGAAAGTGAAGTGGTATGCACCCTTTTTGTTGTTTAGTTGCATTATATGCTTTGTATGTACGGGATCAAATGTCCCAGGATCTGAATTGTAGCGATTTCAACTTGAACTGGAAATCTCATAAGTTGGTAAACAAGTGTAAATCTAAAGTAGATGTGCTTATATTTTTTTGTATTGTTACATTTTTAATCATACATTTTTTATATATACACCTCAGGAGGAATTTCAAGAAGAATCCAATTCACAGATGGTTTGCTATGTCCTGTGTCAGTAAGAGGAGTTAGCAGCACGCCTGCAATCAGACCCCGAGCTCCCTCTGCTCGCTCTGTTGTCCAAACCAGAGCCATCTTCCCAGACCTCCTAATCTTGCTTCTCCACAGCCCTGGTTGTTTCATCATCAGCGGCATGGCCACAGCCTGGAGTGGATGGTTAGTATACATTTGTTTATATACGTGCGTGAATAGCTTTTTCTTTTCTTTTCCTTTTCTTGAATGTACGTAGAAAAATGAGGAGGACAAAACATAACTTAAATAATTCTACTGCATCTAGTGAATTATTATATTTTCACAAATCTATCTAATTATCTTTTTTCAACTTTATGTCAGCATGCAGCATACCCTGGAGCAGGGACTCTAACCGCAAGCAACCTCAGGCAATTCCTCCAGCTCGACTCCTGCTGCCCCAGACCCCACACTCTCTCCTCTCTTTTCATAGTCAAGATCCCAATACAGACCTTAGAATTTCTCTGTCCAAGATGTCAGATCAGTTAGACAAAATCTCCAGTAAGGTAAAATATTCATATGATACTTTACTTTGTTATTTACCCTGCTCATTTCATTAAAAGGAAACAGTTATGTATCTTGATTGAAAGTAAACCATATGTTTTTCAAACATGTTGGACATAAATTTTAATAGCAGTGAGTGATGTGTGATGTATATTTCTTGCTTGTCTTATTTTATGTATTTCTTTCACTCATTTGTCCCCTGACTGTATTCCGTTAGAAAAGTAGAAACACAATGTGGAAGAGGAGGTCAGTTTTCAAACACAATGAGACCATCAAATATGATGGCCAGGCCATCCCAGTCAAGCCTTTGCTCCCCCTGCAAGCTGTGACCCTCAAGGTCTCCTGAAGCAATTACAACCATTGTTCAGTGAAAAATGACAGCATGTAATTCAGCTTCTGGAGAAGAATGGGAAAAATAGGGGAATTGAATACAAACAATTAACACAATGTTGCAGAAAAATCGCAGTCAAGGTCTAATAGGTTTTACTGAAGTGAGAGGTGACTAAGTGATGAAAAACTTTTTATTTATGTTTTTGTCTGTATATTGATGTCTCATATTCTATTTTCAGACTCTTGGAGGAAAAGGCAGAGCTTGCTCTTGCTAAAAGTGAGCAGCGATCATCCCAGCCGTTCTAGTGTGAGCTTATCAGAGTCATTACTTAAAGGAGGAGAAACAGCTTCTCTGGCTGCACAGTTTGCTCTGACACAGCAGCAATTATCAGTATTAAAGGAGCTCGGTATAGCATTTAGTGCTTATGTCAAGTTTGATGGTTAGAAATATTATTTTTATTTAATATTCATATTTGTTCTTATGTCAGTTGTAATGTAAAAAGGTTTCCGTGTATCAGGAGAGTTTAAATGAGGTAAAGATTGGCAAAGATTCCAACACAAGAAATATCTAAATCTGATATACAGATAAGACAATGCGCAAACTAAATACCAAGAACTACCAGACTACAATTCAAAAACCAAAGAGCTAATTGATATGATTATAATCTCAAGCGCAATAAGGAATGCACAAAAAGAAGGAATGAAAGTATGAAAGGCTTGCTTGATGCTGCTGAGCAGTAAGCCAGTCATTACAGAAGAGTTAGCTGCCATGCAAGCCAGCATACCTCCAAAGAAGAAGAACAAGTCAAATTCTCAGGGAGGAACATGGGAAAACTGAGAACAGTTGGAAGCTACAGAAACTGAATCATGCGAAAGCAGAGCAGCAGATTAAAGAAGTGAGTTAAATCAAGCAATTTTTTTATTTTATGAGTATGTACTTACGAGGTTTGGTTAAAATCACAAAATATTTTACTTAAATGGAATGTATGACAAAAGGGTCTGTACTTAAAAACATAATTATGTATTGGTAAAAAAAGAAGAAAAATAAAAATCATACATGTGAAGTGACCAATTTTCTATAACTTCGCAAGCTGGCAAGGAAAAGACAGACTGGACGAAAGGGCTTCCACAGCTTGTGGAGAAAACAGTCTCCTCCGGAAACTCAAAGACACAGCAGGTATGCCAAAGTGATGAAGGCATTAATGGATCTAAAGAATATGAAAACAATTTAGTATATACTTCACATCTACTCAAGTCTTCTTCATACGAGCAGCATGCATATCTAAAGATGGGTGGATTCATTGAAAAATAGAGAGGCTAAACAATGAATAATCTTTCATTTGGAATATGTAAGATATTTTGCCTTTTTTTGAATGAAACATCTTTCTTGTTGCAGAAAGGAAATGAAGACAAACCACACAATGAAAATGTTTTTATTAAAGGAGGAGAGTTGTGCAGCTCAGACGGCCGCAGTAATCCACAGAGCTAGTAACTGCTGTTAAAAAAGATATGAATACAGTATTCAAAACTCTCAAGGCACATTTGTGGAAGAATAATCCTATTATGAAGTATTGTCATGAAAGCTGATCACATCATAAGGGTAAGTTTTTAACATACTAATTTGGGAACGGAATTCTGGAAGTATTTTATTTTAACAGTTTACTACTGCAGCTTTGTACTGGATAAGCTTCATTAAATCTTACCAAGGAAATTTGTGATTTTGCTATGTTTCCAGTTTGTAAGACCTAATTACATATATATATATACATACTGATTTTGCTTCAAATTTTTTGTAATTGTTTTATATTGACCCTTAAATTACCATCTATAAAAGAATTTAAATCAAGTATTGATAAATTTGGGACGAATCTGGCAATACAGAATTCGCTAGATTATTCTTGTATGTCTCTCGTGTACTGGATGAAGAGTTTTACTTAGTATCTATTACTTTCCATAGGACACAACTTTACAATTGTTAGCAGGGTAAGAGAAGAATCTCTACAGCAATGCTCCAACCATTTCCCAGTACAGCTATGTAATGATGTAGGTCCGCAGTAATAAAACAGTCATCACAAGAGAAGCTTTAGAAGTAATCAGGCCGAAGTAAACCGTAGCCTGAAAGAGAAAGTACGTTCATGAGAATTGAAAAGCCTGAATCCAGGAGAGTAAGGAGAGGGAAGAACACCTTGATAGTGAGGAGGGGGAACCAAAACAGCTTGTCA